TGAGCATGAAGGATGGACAAGCTTCGGGGATTTTGGATTAGGAACACAACAGAACACTCAGGGATTTGGATATAGTCAGATGCCTGCTAATATCGATGATTCGTTTTTAGATCGAATCAATGAATTTTCAAACGAATTCAATCAATGGCACCAGCGTGACCAAGAAGAAGAACGACGTCGTCTGTCATTTTATTTTTAAATCGTATGTTACTAATTGTATGCTTTATTGTAGTCCATGTATGTTGATATACTTATTCCATGATAATTCTATGTTTATCCTTTTGTGTGACGTAAATTAAATGGTAAATAGTAGTTCATGCAGGGAAATAACATATCAATATTCGCATATTCATGCAAAGAAATGAAAATTCTTAATGTTGTACCCTCATTTTTTATTGAATTTCTAAAAAACAATATTTATAATGAATTTTAATAATTTTTTCGGATTTTTTTAAAGCTTTATTCTGACCGATTCTCCCGATTCTCGATCCGGATAGCCGATTCGCGGATCCGGATCGGTTTTTGAGGTGCCCGATCCAAGTCACCAATCCGATTTTTAAACCATTGGTGTTATATAATATATGATATTTATATAATACTATATGTTATATCTATATATTATATATAATATCTAACATATATTAATATATGTTATATAATTAATATATATATATATTATCTTATATATAATACTATATTATATATAATATATAATACTATATTATATATAATATATAATAATCTATGTATTATATGTATCATACATGATATTAAAATATCATATATTTTATTAAATATTATATTATAAAAATATTACATTATCTTATATTATATTACAAAACTACTTTTTCTTTAGGGTGTGGAGAAATATACATTAATAAAATAAATATAAAATGCATTATATTTCATATTATATTATGATATAAATATATTACATATTTATGTATTTATTCTATTAATATATATTTTATTATAAATAATATAAATACTTAGTTTATTATATGTAATATATAATATCATATTTAAGTAAGATGTCTTTGTGATTTGCAGACCTCAATATTTCAAATTAACTTGAATGAATTGTAAAATTTTGGGTCCGACGGGGATTAGCTAATCCAAAAACCCGTGGACAGCATTATTCCAACTGTTTTGGTGGAATAGTATTATCCATGTTTTGGCTTAAAAACGTGGATTGATCCCTTTGGGATTCAGCTTTCTACACGTGAATGTGTTACCCAAACAAGGGATAAGGACTTAATATGTGAATAACCTTAATTAATTGGAGTTTAGCTTGTAATTACAAACCCTCTGCTCCTTTTAGAAGAGCTCACATGTGTGCACAAACCTCTTGCTGTGCATTTTTAACATGTGCTATAATTAATTTTAAAATTTTTGAAATTACACAAAATCCAATATTACAAAAATAGCCACACATAACAAATTACACAATGACCTAGAATGCCAACATGGGGAATGACCTCAACCCCATGTCATCTCCATGTGGGATTGACGTGGAGCCCCCATGGCCCCATTTGGACATCCATTGATCATTTGGGTATCCCGTGTGGGTCCTTGGGGGGGTGGTTTTTCTCTAATCGTCTTCTAGTAAAAACAATTCTGACATCACTTTTTCTTATCTCGAAAAATCTTCAAAAATTTGTAAAAATCCTTTTAATCATTTTCCATCAAAATATACTATTTTCGCAATGTTTAAAAACATCTACAAGGGAAATTAGGATTCTATGTTAATAATTTTCCATCAAAATATACTATTTTCACAATGTTTAAAAACATTTACATGGGAAATTGGGATCCTATGGAGATGAATTAGGAATCAGAGCACTCCACTTGGCTAGACTTGGAATACAAAGTCACCTTCTCAGTATGACCCAACAGACTCATGACTCACCTTGTATAATCCGGGGCTGATGATAGTCAAACCAATGAGTGATCTTGAATCCCCAAGTACTAGTGGATTTTATGTGAGGACATGCACACACAAGGTGCAAGGGTTTCTCTCTTGACAGATGTGCATCCTCTTCTTAGTGGATCCTTGGAAGAATCGACTTCCCATTCTTTGCGACTGTTTATGCACATGCTATGAGAAGGTTCGAAGACTCAGGGATTTAGGCCAATGCCCTATGTTGGTCCTAATCTTCCTAATAATCGAGCTCAAAGCATCATATACATAAAATCACATCGCCCTGGCATCCAGTAATGAGGCCCAATTGAGCTCAATAATAATAATCAACCCTACCTAGAGGCAACCCTGAAACCTCTCTGTGTTTCTCATATATACACCAATCCTCCTAAAGATTGTCCCAGGGATTCTATGATTCTTGGTCCAGTACGCCAAGGTCCTAGAGTCAAGTTGCTCTGTTCATTCCCATTGTGATCAAGAGCTATAACATATCGATGTTACAAGGCCTTGAAAGGCCATAACTCCATCAATTCCATCTCTTTCCTCTCATGTGAAAGGAGAAATATGGCGTTCCCTTGTGGGGCATGCCCCTCTTCTCTCTTTATCTCTACTTTTTCTCATTTCTCATGTGATCTAATTAGTTAAAATGATTTTCCCATGGGTTGAAATAAAATATAGCATGACTTTATGAATGGTTTCAAACATAGTTACTGGGATATCCTACTTTGGTATTCTATCCCTTCTAGAAACTCGATTCTGTTGCTCCCGAAACGAATCTCTAAGGGAACCCGAATTCTAAATTTTGGGATCTCGTACCTCATAAAAAAGGATCCCGATTCTTGTTGTTAGGGTTCTCAATCCCAAACTTAAAGACTAAGACAACAACCAAACTGATGTTTTTCTTTGTTTATAGCCAACTAGCAACACAAAAATTGCTTGCTTATTATAAATAAAGAGATCCCTATTTTAAAGGGTATACATAATCCTTGAGTATCATACATTTTAAGATTGGTAACAAGATCCCCAAAATGTTGGGATCCAGATCCCAAAAGGTCGAGATTAAGATCCCCAAAAGGTTGGAATCTCGATTCCTAACATTTGGGGATCTCGATCCCTAACGTGTGTGCATTGTACGGATGGCGTTCCCAACCATAGGGATCTTCTAGCATTTCACGATCCCTCGCTCCCGATCTTGGTATCATTCTCACTTCCGATCCCATCTACTATTGTTTCAAATGAAGGGAAATTAGGGTTTGAATGGCTAGGCAGTAACGTGTGAATCTCAATCTTGATTAATGATAGCTCATCAAGGGTTGAATGACTTGGATGGAGTCTCTCTTCACCCCATAGATTTCCTAGATCAATGGTTTATATGTTTTGAGCAAAGAAGTTTCTTGGTCTTTACTAAATCCAAATTTTCATCCAAAAAGGGGGTGATGGGTAGCTCATTTATCATTCTTGTTTTTATTTATGTCACGCTGCCAAAATTTCTTCGGAACTCATACTTAGCGGTCACCTCCCTCCTGGTGTTCTTTCCTTTCTCTTGAGAGGTTGCCATTAAATCTTAGATGAAGCTCCTTGGACCATAGTTTTGTGCAGTCATACACTCTACATTGTTTTGTAGCCTAGTTTCCCTTTTCATTTCTCCATCTTTTCTGAACTTCGAAAGGCCCTCTACTTGCCTGATACCAGCAAGTTTTCACTGAAATGATGTGAGTTTTCTCAGCCATTTTAACTTCACAAGGTGTGCATGTCGAGCCCTCCTTTGGTCCATACCACTAGCAATCCTTATGGAGATAATCACCATTTGTGTGCATCACCTTGGCACACTCACATTGCGCAAATTTATGGCAGGATACCCAATGACCTAGGAACCCATTTGGATGATCTTTTGTGACTTTGAAGACCTTGTCACACTCACATTGCGCGAATTCACACTTGGTGCTTGGTGGGACTCCGTTCCCTGCACTATTGAAGATGGAATCCGGCGTGGGTATATCTACATTGGGGTAATTTTTGGCACTTTTCTTTTTGCTTACAGCTTCTCATGGTCCATTAGTTTCAGTGACTTCTGTTAATTTGAGTTTGTAAGATTTAGATTGCCTTGAAAGCGTTCCTAATAAAATTTATATAAGTCTTATTTGCTTGTTTGGGTTAGATACGTGCTCAAATTTATTTGGTGTGAATTGTCTTTTGTAGTGCAATCGCAATTCTGTCGTTGCTTGGAAATTTGAGTGGGGGCATATTAGAGTAAATGAGGCTTTGAGTCTCATTGCATTGGTGCTTGGCTGTAATTTTGATGGAACATGCATATGTGCATGGGTACATGTGATCTTGTTATGTCAATTTTATATTGCGTATTCTTGGAGCACAATTGCTTTGACCCTTCAAAGAGATTTGAATTTGTGTACTCAGCCTGCTGGAACAATGTTAAGTGTCTTTTATAACGATCAGCCTTACACCCGTTTGAACTTCAGTTGAGGCTCGTTATTAGACAAAGAAATCAATTTAAGTTTTTCCTCTGATATTTCTACAAAGTATAAATGGTGCCATGGCTTGGATTCCTTTGCTTGGGCCTCGTTGGATCTCATGGCTGAATATATGCCTTTGCAAACTCCTTTTTGGAAGAAATGGTCCTCAATCTAATTGAACAGAAATCCTAGTTATTAATCATCTCAATGAATTGAATGGGAATAGCTTTCTACCCCTTGTCTTCAGCTGCAACTGTTTCAATAATGTCGGTACAGATGAGGATACATCATTGGAACATGTTAGAAAGAGATAGGCCTGCAGAATGTAAGTGATTTCTTTAACGAAATAGTTTGTTTGAATTCTTGAATGGGGCAATGAGGCATGTGATTTTCATCGGTATTTTTTAGAAAATCATGAATTTGTGTCGTGGGGATGGTTCTGTTGTGCTAACATTTTGTTGATCTGTAAGCTGCGATTGGGTTGTAGTTCCATCACCCTTACTTTTTAGATTTACATGGTTTCTGAGGCTTGTAGATCCTAGTAATGGTTTTTGAAATCATATACCGTCACAATAGTTTGGCGAATGTCTAACATTCAACTTTTGCAGCTTCTCAGAAACTATCGTTCATCCAGAAATATTTTGAACCTAGCTTCTGTTCTTTTGAAATTCATCCATGGGAGAAAAGAGATTTTGAATCATGAGATTCATCACCTTCTTGCAACGAAGGTTAGCATCCATCATACTTTTATATTCAACCAATAAGATCTTATTGAGTGGGGTATCACTTTTAGTCATGTTTCTAATGTCACTCCTCTCCTGTGTTTAGGATCAGGGAGAGCCTATCTGCATTAAAGAGTTCTTAATTCCCCAAGAAGAAGCTAACTTTGTGGCATCTGAAATAAAAAGCCGCTGGGTTGACCAAAGAAATTTTTCTGATAGCTTTGCTGTTCTTTACCGCACTCATCAACAAGTATGATTTGGGGTCACATTTTCTCTTCGTTTCTAAGAATAAATGGATTTTCAGGTTTATCCACTGACTGCTTTCTCTTGACTCTTATGACAGTCTTCTCTGTTTGAAATCTCTCTTCGGCAAATGGGCATTCCATGTACTGTGGTTGATGGCTCTAGTTTCTTTCATCATGTGGTAATTAGATTTCTCCTTTATAGGCTTTGAGAGATAAATTTATTTTATTTACCTAGACTTCTATGGACATGGAGCTCCTTTTCCTCTTCAGATTATCTAAATTTTTTCTCATTAATATCATCATAGTCTGATCATGATGGCTTCTTTAATTGGCCAATTAGAATTTTTTCTTTTCACTAAATTAAAGGGGATCTGGATGTGTAGTTTGAAGGTCTCAATGTTTCTGTTGGTGATGAGCAAAGTGGAAGACTTGGAAATTGAGATTGTGTGGTGAAATGTTCCATACATGCATACATCAATAGAATATACAAGCTAAAAGTATGCCATAAACCCCCATCATGTTTAGGTCGTGCTTCATTCATCTTTTCTCATTCAAAATTAATTTCTGCTTGGTTTATCAAAGCAAAAAAACAAAAAAGTTCCTTAAATATAATAAAAAATCTGAATTCAATGACCATCTTGGTCTCTACCAAACCGAGTCAACTCTCTTTGTCGAACAGTAAACTCGGAAAACTCTGCAAGTTTTTAAATTTTCTTTGTAAAGAATTTAGAGAATAATTGGTGGCAATCCGACTTCACTTATCACTTGATTCACATGACAATGCCTCCACACTTTCAAAGACTATATATATGTTAAACTAACATAGAAAATTATATATAGAAATAGCTAGGACACATCCTGAGTTTTTCATGTATAAAACCCTCCAATGGAATGAGCTGGGTTGACCCAGAAGAGGTTTTCCAACTCAGCGAGTTTTTATTTGCTGGTTATATTATTCATGTTTGGTTCTTCTTTGTAACAAATACTGTCTGCTCTGTGTGCACACCATACATGAAATGATGTCTCTCAATGTGTTTTCTTATATCATGTAATATTGGAATGGTTACAATGTACATTACCTCCTGTGATCTTACTTTGATTTGCTATGTAACTAAGTTACTATTTTAGCTAAAGTTATTTTCTTTTTCTTTTGTTTCTGCATTTGAATAAGCTACTGCTAGTTTGTGGGCTTTTATGCGCTTGGATAATGATCTACTTCCCAAAACTGATGCTCCTTTGTGGTTCCTTATAAGAGAATCCTTATTTTGCCTGCTCCTGCCCCTGAGAGCCACATTTCCTTGCTTTTGTTTGCTCTATGAGATAAGGCTGATTCCGCGAAAATCACAGTCATGTAGTTGATATCCTTCCATTTGGGTAGTCAGGAGTTAATTCAGTATGCATAACGGATTTCTTAATATATTGATGTAAAAAATAGATGTCCTCTTTTCTAGAGCAATGGGCCAGTTATTGATGGGCTTGAATGCTTTTTTTGTGCTCACTTTTTTATTTATGCGCATCATCATAAATTTGCAACAAATGCAACCTCCATTCTTGTTAAAGCCAACTTTTGCGACCTACTTGCAATCTTTTTATAGGGCAAGTTTTGCAAAGATTTCACCTTAAGCGTCCTTTATTTTTTAATTAATTTTTCTGGAGTGTTGATTGGCTTGCAAATTGGCAATCCAAATTTGTTTAATTAATCGTGTGTGTATTTCATCTAACAAAGATGCCAATCATCACATTTGCTGTTAACTTTGAAATCAGAGAACTTCCTGATTGCATCATAATGCTGTGCACTTACGGTTCAAGTGTTCTTTTTTTTCACCTGATACTCATGCTTTGTAGCATTTAAGGTGCACTTCAGCAAATGTATATGCCTTAAGTGGTGCCTGAAAACTCATTCAACTGTTATTCTTACCAAAGAAAATTAAAGAAGGGAGAATCTTTTCTACCCATATGTGCATAGGATTTAATTGGTATTATGAAATCATGGCCTAGCTGCTTGTGTTGACCACATTTTACCTTCTCTAGTTAGTAACGTTCATTTAGAGATTCCTCATCATCAAAACTTATTGGTTTCTGTATGCACACTTCTGTTGAGAAACCATGCAAAAGGGTACCTTCTTATGTTCATTTAAGTGATTACTCGTATCTTTTGAAGGCAAAATAGAACATTATTCTTATAGTACCTAACTTTACTTTTCAAAAGAACTCTCTGTTATTGTGTTGTAGATAACATTCATCAGATCCTTAAGCAAGTAACTTGCCCAATATCTCTCCACTTTTCTCTTCGATTTTGATTGTTCACCAACATCTCTACCCGATTACATTCGGCCTATGTGGTTATTCATCTTAAATCTGTGTCCCATCTGTTTGCTGAAATAGAAAATCTCCTACAATTGCCTTATTTTGGATCCCTTCTGTATAGCAAGAATCAAAGAAAGCGAGAAAAATCTCAAAAGAGAGAGCACCATAGTTCAAAAAAACAATCTGCACCTAGGTGCTGGAAGGACCTTAGGGCTAATGCCCAGGCCTAAGCGGCCCTCCCTGGGATCTACGCGCCCCACACCCTGTCCTGGGTGGGCATTCAGGTACTGGGCCCTTTTTTTTGAAATTAAAGTGGTCCTTGAGGGCACTTTTTGTCATTTTGACCCACAAAATTAGCATAAAAGACTATGTGGAGTATTCAAAACCCGTGAAATTTATTTTGAATCTAAGCTCCTAAACCAATTGATTTTGATATTTCTTTGAATCGGAAAAACAATATAAGCTTTGAAGAAATTCCAACAATGAAGGGTGAGCTTTTGGATGCTTCTTCGCAACAATTGGTGAAAAATGATATAAAGTTTAAAGAAATTCAAACCAATTGGTGAAAATCTTAGCAAACCATGCTCTATAGGGATATTGCAAGCAGGTCATATATGTTCGCTTTAACAAGAATGCAGGTTGTATTTGTTGTAAGCAAATCTATGATGGTGCGCACAAATAAAAGAGCGAGAACTAAAAAAACATTCAAGCCCATCAATAACTGGCATGTTGCTCAAGAAAGAGAACATTTATTTTTCCATCAATATATTTAAAAAATCCTTTATCCATATTGAATTGACTACTAACTACACGAAGAGAAGGATATGAACTACATGATTGTGATTGACATGGAATTTCTCATAGAGCAAACAAAAGCAAGGAAATGTGGTTCTCAGCATGAGGGACATGAGCAGGCAAAGTAAAGGAGCATCGGTTTTGGTAAGTAGATCACCATCCAAGCAGATAAAAGGCCACAAACTAGCAATAGCTTATTCAAATGCAGAAACAAATGAAAAAGAAAATAACTGTAGCTAGGATAGTAACTTGGTTACAGAGCATTTCAAAGTCTCCAGGAATGAAAAGTGCCTGGTTGTTTTAGCATGCTGGCATTTCTTTTAATATTGCTAACTTAAGTAGCTTTCATACAATGTTGGAAACAATTGGCCAATTTGGGCCAGGGTTGAAGGGCTCAACTGCTTATGAGCTTTCAAAGCCACTATTGAAGAAATTGGTAGAACCCACTATGGAATACGTCAAGTCCCATAGGAGGAGGAGGAGTATCATGAACCTATTAGTCAATTATCCCTTGGATACAATATTTTTGAGGTCCATTGATGCTTCTAAAGAGGTTTATGATGCACATCATATATTCTCTTTTTATTGATAAGGGCATTGAGGAGGTTGGGGAGGAGCATGTAATTCAAGTAGTCGTAGATAATGCTGCTCCTAATTTAGTTCTAGCTCATTTGCTTTGCCAGAAGAGGCCACACATATTTTGGACACCTTGCGCTGCACATTGCATAAACCTTATGCTTAAAGCTATTAGTGACTTGTCTAGTGGGACACTTTCGAAGGCTATGGAGGTCACAATTTTCATATATAGCACCCTTTTACACTACTTACTCGAGTCTTAAGAGCAAATATTGTAGGAGGATCCCATTGACATCTATGTTCACTTCAGAGGATTGGAGTAGGTGCAGTGGTCTACAATCCCAAAGGAAAGAGGGCCTATGAAACTATTCTCTCTAATGTTTTTTGGTGTGGGATAAAGCAATCCTTAGTAGTTGTTCTACCCTAGGTCAAGGTCTTGCGCTTGGCTGATGCTGACAAATCAGGTATGGGATTTATATATGATGCAGTAGAAGGAGCTAAGAAGGAGATAACAGAGAATTTAGGTTATGATGAGGTTAAGCATGGCCCCATTGGAAAATCGTAGATGACGAGTGGGATAGGCAGCTTCATAGACCATTGCATGTACAGCTGGATACTATTTGAACCCAAAATTCTTTTATGCTGACTTAGATATTGAGAGGAAAGTTATAATCATGGATGGATTTAATGTATTCCTTGAGAGGCTAGTTCTCAACGTAAAAATCCAAGATAAAATATCCGCCAACAAACTCATTTTGTATAAGTGTGCTTTGAAGGCTTTTGGAAAAGAAATGGCAGTGAGACCAAGGACCAAATCAGATCCAAGTAATATATTTCATTTGAAAATTTTTAGTCTAGTTCCTAGTGACTTATGTTGTATTTTAATTTCACTAAAATTCTTTATGAATTTAAATTAATTATAGAAACTGCACCCAAATTGCGGCCTAGTGGTGGAGTCAGCATGGGAGTAGTGCTCCAAACCTCCAAAATATGACTATTGGGGTTTTGAGTTTAACAATTAGCTCATCTGGTTGTGAGAGGAATTGGAGTTAATTTGAGATGGAATTTTTAGTTTTTTACTTGTTCAGTCATTTGCAAGTTCATTTTTGTATTACAAAAGAACATAGAGTACATTAGTACCAATTTTAATATAGATGGCTCAAGTAACGTAGCAGTAGACTGGTAATGCTCATTCATGTTTTCTTATAGGCGCATACAAAAAGAAAAAATAGTCTTAAGCTGAGGAAGCTCAATTCTTTACTATTTGTTAGAGCGAACGAGAGGTTTAAGGAGAAATTCAACTAGCCGAAGAGGGATCCATCGCCTCAAAGGATAAGGAGAATGCAGTTGAGGGGTTGGATGAAGAACTAGAAACTGAAGAGGTCTTCCCTTGGGAGGGTTTGACCTTGGTTATGGTTGAGGAGGCTATTGGTCCAGCTTTTGATCCTAAGAGGGCCACTCGAGCAACAATTGGTGCTAATACTTCACAAAGGTTGAGGGA